CCACAAGGTGTAGGCTGAGCCTTTCCTCCTGCATCTCCCTCTCTTCCCATCACAGATCATTGCTGTCTTTCTCCTCACCCTCTCCGACCTTTCCTGAAAGCTAGAAAGGCATGACCTATGAGGAATGAAGTGTTTTCCTCCTTGCCCAGAGATGCCTCTGATGTGTGGCAGGGTGGACTTAGATGAAAAGTGATGAGCCCAGGGCCACTCTGCCAAATTCAGTGTGTGTCCTCTGCTGTCCTGGGATCCAGAATTGGGACCTTTTACCACCCCAGAAATGAGCAAGATGCATGAGTTCAAGTTTCTGCCCTATATGGGGAGTTCTTTGGGAGGACTGGCCCTCAGACACTTCCAGTAACATAGAGGGGTAAGGCCAACATGATTCTCCTGTGCAGGCCCTGCTCTGCATCTTGGATTGGGTCCTGCATCATCTGCAGCATTTGCATCATCTCTTTTAGTCCTCATAGTTGGTTTATGAAGTGGTGTATCAGACCCTTCCTCGTGAAGGGGACAGAACATTAGTTCAAACCACCTCAGGCCTAAAAAGAAAATTTATCAACTCAGATAACTGAATCATTTACTGATAAGTAATGGACTGTGTGCTGGATGCAGTGTTGCAGGCATGTTCCTGAGTAGGTTTCATCTCACATCATAGGTCCAAAGAAATCCAAGAAGTGTAGGAAAGTTCCAGCTGTCCCCTGTGAAAGTTGACCTCTTGAGTCTATTGAATAGACAGATTGAGAAAAAGCACATGAACACATGCACACGGGAGCCATACAAAATACAAAAATGCAAAGCAGGATCAAATGAACGAGTCTTAAATAACCCTTTCATGGAAAAGAATGCAGTAGGGGTGCTGTGGGCAATTTTAGAGGGGTAATAAATAAAGTTTAAGGGAGAGAATGAGCCCAGGAAATGGGGACAAAGTCCCTCTGAGGCTCTTGCTAAGGTGTTTGATTTTTTTTGCGTCTGTGATGTGAATTTATTCTTGCTGGCTTAATGAAGCATTAGTAAGAAGACTAAAGATACTTACATTTCTTTGTGGTTGATCTGGTCTTTGATAAGGGAATTTAGGAAAGTTCTTTCCTATGCTACAGGACAGAGGGTCAAGGGAAACTAGGGGAAACATAGGTAGCAAGGATGTAGGGTACGGTCAGAGAGACCTTGAAGTTGCTCCTGTAGTCCAGCATGTCACAGCACCACACTCTGGGGTGTCATTTTCTGAGCCTCCCCACCCACTGAGATCACATGTTCAGCATCAGAGCACACACTGTGGCTAGGTGGGCCCGACCTGCACTGTGACTCTATGCAAGAGACAACACCCCTTGGCCTGAGAACTGGAGAGGAAAAGAGAAGACTGCTGCAGCAAAGGGAGTGTTGACACTAAGCAACTGCACCCCTCAAAATATGTCTACCTCTTCAAGTAGATACTTGGAATTCCTTTACGCTGGAGTTCAAAAACCAAGACATGGAAAGATGATCCATTGTCTTGATTTACAAAGCCAGAGGATCAGAGGAAGGATTCCAACCCATGCAGTCTGACTCCAGAGCCCTAGTTCCTAACCTCAGGTGACCTACAAATGACCTGGCCTGGTCAAAAGCAAATTCACCAACTTACACTTAGGTCTAGAGTAGCTGCTAACATCCTCATACAAACTTAGCACTAGTGATTCAAAGACTCAGGCTTTAAAGAGCGCAGAACTAAACGAGGGGCTAGGTCCTAGTCTTGTTCTCATGATGCCATCATGGTATCTTGAAATTCCCCAGGGTGCCTTAAACATGCTTTAAAATCAGAGTGTGGAAGGGAGTTGCAAGTCTTGAAGCTGAGCCACTGGGAATGCTGAAAGTTGTTAGCCAGACTCAGTTCCGATGATGAGAGAGGGAGAAGGAAAGGGAACAGTGAGTGTTTCTTGGGGAAACGCACTCCTCTTCTCTGCCCTCATTTAGGTGGTGGTTTAACATGGAAGGGTCCTCCTTTGGAGGCCAACCAGGATGAGAACTTGCAGCACAGCAGGTTTCTCTAAATTTCTTTTCAGTGTCATGGTAAATTATGGCCCCCTAATTCTACAGCTTATAGAGTGCTCAGCAAGCTAGCTCACAATAGATGGGAACATGACTTACAGGTGTCACAGCATCAAAGCTGCCTTGGGGTCATTCAGTGTTTCCAAATTAGAGATTCAGGCAGGTGTGTTGGTCCATGGTGGTAATCCCAGCATTTGGGAGGCTGAGGCAAGAGGACTCACCATGAGTTCAAAGTCAGAATTAGAGTTTCATGCCTCAGGCAGCCCACGACTCAACTCATTTACAAATTCTTCGCAACAGTGCTGGGTCCATTTGCAAAATAGCAAGCAGCCACGAGTTATCTAAAACAGTAGCAAGGCAGGCTCTCATGGATTCACAAATAACCACATGACTTACGGACTAAATGGTGCTAGTAAGCTAGTGGGACTAAATGGTACTTCTAGCTCCTCCTTACCCAGAGAGATAAGAAGCCACCATGAAAACTGTTTGGAAAACTGCTAGTCACCTTCCAGCCATCCTGGCTGCCTAAGAGTAGAGGAAGACTTTCACCTTGAGAATCTCTCATGAACTGAAGGGGGCCAGAAGAACTGATGGTGATGAACGTAACAATGGATGATACCTATGAGAAAAAAGAAGAGAGGAGGGGATGGAAAAAGCTGATATGGATACAGAGGAGTGAAACCCCCAACCTGAAAGATACCTGGGACGAGTTCGTGTTCTCTAAAACAAAAGAATGAATTTTAGGAATAATGCAAGTTAAGAGCAGATATAGTTATTGGGGAAAAGAAAGTTTCTGTCCAAGAGAGGGACAGAAGGGGACCCAAGTGGGTTACCGAGGACTCTGCCATTTCTAGGGGTTTAATAGAGCAAAAGCACGAGGTGAGGCAGATCTGAGGTGGGAAACATGAACTTGCAAGATGAGCATGAGGTGGGACAAAACTATGGTCCACCAATAAGATTACAAGTATAATTGCTCAGGAAACGTTGATTAAATCATAATCAAATGGGGAAGTGAGTCACATCGCAAGTGGACATGAATGCAGAACAGGGATTCTTCCTGTAGGGTGTTGGGTAATGACTTTTCCTGGTTCTTTCATGGTGATTGATACCTATTTAGAATATCAGTCCTGATGTCAATCCCTAGGGTGGTAAGTGGCAGCATTTGCTTCACCCTTTGTCTTGAGGTTGGCCCACAGTGGGAGTGCCTGTCCCACAGTTGCAAGGTATCTTGTCTTCTATATTGGGTGCTTTGAGGTCCTAGACCTGACTGGCTGCAGTAACATTTCTAACTCAGCTGCCTACAACAATATGCTTCGTTTATGCAGGATAGCATGGGCAGCATGATGGGTAACATGAGGGATAGATGGATAGATAGATGGATGGATGGATGGATGGATGGATGGATGGATGGATGGAGAAATCCTGTAGTAGGACAGAAGTGAGGACCTTGTTAGAAAGCAACTGCTTAAGCCCTTGGCCCTTGAAGCAGATCAGAATCAATACACCTAGAAACTTGGCAAAAACAGTGTCTTAGACCACACCCATATCCACACAACCAGTATCACTGGCAAGGGGGCTTAACAACTTGCATATATTCTAGAACGAGTGCTCGCTCAGTGTGAGAGACCCCCTACTTTATTAAGAGTAATTAAGTTCCCATCTCTGTTTCAGCCGAAAACCCAGGGCAGGCTAAGTTTAGTTGAAAGGAAAACAAAAGAGCTGGTTCATTAGTTACCATCCTGTTTATACTTGCGCTGTCAATGCTAATTGCCTCTTTGTTTTACTAGGGCTCCCTGCCTGCACTAAAGTTATTAGTCCTTGCCCTTAAGGGGGCTTTATCACCAGCACCCTTGATGGTGCTCATCAGTCACTAAAGAATCCTGTGACTCTCACCTTGCATTTCACAGACCAGACCCAAAGTGAGCCATCATTGTGGGGATCTTTTTCATGCAGTTGATGATTAACCCTTTAATGGAGGATGCCGTCCCAAATTGTAGATAAGACTCTCTGTAATCACAGAGCAGTGTTCACTCTGTTTCTATGTAGACCTGTCCTCTAGGCATTTATCAGATGCTCAGTATTTGTGGCTACCTTGCAAGTGAGAATAGCTTTTAGCTGCCTACACCCTAGGGTAGAAAGGCACTGCCTGTCATTGCCTGACCCCTTGGGCTGGCAAGAGGAAGCACTGAGATGCACACTGGTGCCAGAATCGTGCATGTACATGGCCAGGCCCTTTCCCATCCAGAGAAGGGTCTGGCTCCAGGGAGTGTCCCAGTCCTAAGTGCCACCTCCCTCTACCAGCACACCTGGGACTGACAGCATTTTTCAGTCTACCTCAAACTTAAGAGGAGTTTAAAGGGACCCAATTTATTGAACTCCTTTATTTATACCAGATTTTCTTCAAGGTCCTTTCACCGAAGTTAATAATGGCTCATCATTTAGCACTTCGAAAATGCCATGTGGATTGTCCACATGGATAAATACATCCAGCACAGCCTTCTGTTCATTCTAGGAAATCTTACCCTGCTCATTCTAGGAAATGGAGACTCAAAGAAGGTTAAGCACAGCTGGTGAGTGGTAGAGTTAGGGTCAGAATGCAAGCAAGGTGGCCCCCATGCTTATAATCTTAACCATGGGAAAAGAACGTCATATTCCTGCAACTTCAGGGACTCCTACAGGGAGCTCTGCCTCTCCATTTTTCAGATACAGAAATGGAGGCCCAGAAAAATATCCCCCAACTAAAACGGACTGACTTCTGACTCCATCCCAGGTGTGTCAGCTATAAAAGCTCAGCCTCTTCTTGCCTAAATGCTCAGCCTTCGTCCTTGCTCCTGAGGCAGGCTGAGGAGCACCCACACCCCTGCACCCCTGGAGCACTGCCAAGGGCCAGTGGGGCTGGCCAGGCTGGGAGACCGGGAGAGCACGCGGGCCTCCGACTGTGGCTGGGTCCAACTTCTGACCTGTGCTTTCTGCTTTAGAACCCTTCATGGCAACGACATTTCCAGTGTTCCTGAGGGCTCCTTCAATGATCTGACATCTCTCTCCCACCTGTAAGTAGCCATAAGTCTCTGCATTGTGCATTCACTGAAAACAGAACATGATGATCATGCCGGCAGCAGTGTGCTGTGTGTTCTTTCCATGTGTATAGGTGGTCGATCCTGCATATCTGCATAGTCCAATCGGGGAGCCCCAGTGCTACCAAAATCCAGGGATATTCAAATCCCTTGTATCAGAGGGATAGTATTCCCATGTAGTCTATTTACACACTCCTGTATACTCTAAATCATCTCTTGATTGCTTACAGTAACTCATACAGGGTAAATGCTATGTAGTTATTGTGCTGTACCGGGAAAAGAACAATGACAAGAAAACAGGTCTATTTTCATGTCTAGTCCAGATACAATTTTTATGTTATTCCAATCCACATTTAGTTAAACTGCAGATGTAGAACCTGAAGATTCAGAAGACCCACTGTAGTTCATTTTACGACAGTGTATCTGTCCCGCACATATTTGTCTTGTTCTGCTTCAGATACCTTCAAAGGAGATGCAATTCTGTAAACTAGTTAATAGAAGCTACCAAAAAAACACTTATATGTAAATAAGTGATCGGATTTATTTCTTACAGCAGTAAGGCATTTTATCACTTTATACATGATGAAAGTAAAACTTGGAAAGTTAAAGAATTTGCCTGAGAGTTGCACAGTCAGTAAGTAGCAGGGCCTCGGGTCAACCCGAGGTCTCCCACGACCCTACAGCACATATTCTGAACCAGTCTGCATTCTGGAGCAAGTGCACGCTTCTTACTGTGCACAAGGAAACCAAGGCTCATAGATATTAACTGATTAGCTGAACTCATATGGGAACCTAACAAGACTTCAGACTGGAATTCAAGTTCCCTACTCCCAGTATAGCCTTTTCTTCCCTGGATCAGGGATTACCAGTTTCGGTGTTTGGAATTTGATTCCATTTCTCTGTTGGGGAAAAAGGTTTTGAGTTTCTATGCATTCTATTTGTATATTTAATTTATTTTCATATTGTATATATTATTATATTGACATTATATATGCATATATTATAACATAAGTCTTATTTTAAGTTCTAGAATTTTCTTCCCAGGTATTGCTTCTAGAGATAGCTACAAGGAACTGTACCCCCTTGTCTGCATGTTCAAGCTTAGTGATCTCAAGTCGTTTCATAAATTCTGAGTTTCAGAACCTTCCCTGCAGAATATGTCCTCCAGTTGGATACAAGAGCCAGACAATGAGATGGCCGTAGTTCCAGGAAGCTTGGAGAAAGCAGAATTGGGTTAGGCTCGGGATAGCATTGTATAAGGGTAGTAAAAGCAAAGCCTCAGAAGTGAGAGGGACTTAGGTGAGGGTTAGAACATCTCCCTGAGTGGAAGTACACTCTGAAGACCTGGACTTGGCTGCCAGTCTCCGTGTCAGGCATTCTCAATTGAACCAAAGTTGCAAACTTCTGCTTTTCCTCGGGAGCTAAGCAGGTGGATGGAGCACAGGGGCCCGTTGGGAAGGGAGCCCTAACTTCTTGATCTGCCTCTTAGGGCACTGGGAACCAACCCGCTCCACTGTGACTGCAGTCTGCGTTGGCTGTCGGAGTGGGTGAAAGCAGGGTATAAGGAGCCTGGCATTGCCCGCTGCAGCAGCCCCGAACCCATGGCAGACAGACTGCTGCTCACCACTCCCACCCACCGGTTCCAGTGCAAAGGTTGGTGCTGCCCCCCACCCACTTCCCTGCCCCTGTGGTGTCTGCTCTGTCTGCAGCACCCTGTCACAACTGGGCATCTCCACAGAGGTGACTTCTAAAGCCATTTTTCTATCTCTCCCGTGACTCACAGAGAGACTGTAATGCTGAAATCAATACAGAAACATAAAGATTTTTTTTATCCTTCTGTCCCCTATGGCCTTCTGCTGCTGCCTTGTTTGTTCATTTGATTGGTTGGTTGGGTTTTGTGCTGGAGATTGAGCCTAGGGCCTGTAGCATGCTACGCACCACTGAGCTGCACCCCTAGACTCTGCTGTCATTGTCACATAGTCATTCTGCGGTGTCCACAGGGAACTGGAACGAGGATCTCCCACAGAAACACATCAAAATGTGAGGACACTCGAATCTTTTCTATAAAATGGTGTTGTGTTCACATATAACTCTTACTATATATTTTAAATCAGCTCTAGATTATACATAACACTTAATGCAATGTAAGTACTAATTAAAAAGTTGTTACACTGTACTGTTTAAGAATATTGATCCTCAAGAAGAAATCTGCACATGTGTAGTGTAGACAGAATTGTTTTGCCAAGTATTTCCCACCTGTGATTGGTTGACTCTATCCATGTAGGATGCCAAGGTCCAACAATACCTTCCTCACTAACTTCTTCCAATTGAAAGCATCTTTAATCTGCATTTTTACCCATCATTATTAGATTTTCCCATTTTACTGTAGCAAACTTTTTGTGCATGTGCTTCGTACTGGCTGCATCATTACCATGATAACACACTGCAGAGGCTCTTATTACATGGTAGTATCTTACTCACCACAAGTTAAAGGAGGAAAGGTTTATTTCAGCTCCATTTACAGAGGTTTCCGCCCATAGTTGGCTGGCTGCAAGGCGGGGTGAGGTGACAGAAGGGCTCTGCAGGGGTGAAACAGCTTATGGTGTGGCAGGGCAGACAGTAGGCCGCAGGCAGCACGCCAAGCAAGCAGAAGGAGCAGCACCCAAGCTGCCTCGCCCTTTATCCCATTCAGGCTGCAGCCTTTCTGGTGGTGCTGCCCCTACTCAGGGTGGGACGCCCTTAATCCTAGTGCAACTCCCTTAGTCCAGCATAATATCCACAATCCCAATATCACCTACCTCCCAAAAGTCCCATGGATGACCGCACAGGGCTTTGGGGGTACACCCAGATGCGAGCCGTAACAGGTAAGAACTATATTAAGCAGAGTTTTGTGAATTAGTACATGTTAGTACTATTGTGTTAATAATATAGGACAGTGATGTTTTGGTGAAATAGTACCTACATATAGTATATCTTGAGCATTTTCAATCCCTTTTTCTTTTCTCTCTTAGAGCTCTTATCCCCTTGATTCCCAAGAGCCTACCTTCTAGTTTCCATTATTCTGTTTTATTCATTTATTTATATTTTAGATTTCTCATGTGATAGAGAAAATACGCAGTATTTAACTCTGGGTCTGGCCTATTTTGTTTAATGTGATGGTCTTGAGTTCCATCTACTTTCCTGCAAATGACATGGCTTTATTCTTGATGGCTGAGTGATGTTCGATTGCGTATATATAAGCCACACTTTATCCATTCATCTGTTGATCAGCATCTAGTCCCTTTTCACAGCCTCAAGATTGTGAATTGTGGTGCTATAAATATCAGTGTTAAGGGCTGGTGGTGTGGCTCAGCGGACTAAGCGCTTGCTTAGGTAAGCTCAGGGGCCAGGGTTCGGTGCCTGGCTCCACATGCCGCACTGGCCCTGCCCTCAGACACACTGAGCCAGCGATGGAGTCCAGGCTTGGTGGTGCACGCCTGTAATCCCAGCACTAGGGAGGAAAAAATCAGGAGGATCATGAGTCTGGGCTGTGTAGTGAGACCCAGCCGCAAAACAAACAAAAAACCTAAATATTGGTGCTAGCAAGGGAGATCGCTCAGCCGCAGAAGTGCCTGCCTGGCAAGTACAAGGTCTTGTGTTTGATCCCTGGTACAAAAAAAAAAAAAAAAAAAAAAAAAAAAAAAGGGTGTATGAGTGTGTCACAATAATATGTCACCTCCAAGTTTTCAGGAATATTCCCAGGAGCGGTAATGCTGGATCAAATGGTCCTTCTGTTTTTAGGCTTCAGAGGAATCTCCATGCTGACGTCCATGGCAGCTGTATTAGTTACACATTCTCACCAGCATTGCAGGAGCCCACCTCTCACCCCAGCAGCCCCACCTGCAACGTCCCTCCTTCCCCCTTGCCAACACTCACTGTTCTCTGTATTTCTGGTGAGAGCTATCCTGGCAGGGGTGAATTGGGATCTCGGTGTACCTTTTGATTTGCACTGTCTAAGGGCCAACAACGTTAAACATGTTTTCATATACAGAATTGACGGCACATTCATAATTCTTCTTTTAAAGAAAGTATCGCCTTGGTCAATTTGCCAACTTTTTGAGATTAATTTTTTACTTTCTTAATGTAAAATTTAATCCTCTATCAGAAGAGTAGCTAGCAGAGAATTTTTCCTGTGTTGTTGGTTGGCTCTTTACTCTGTTATTTCTTTGCTGTGCTGAAGCTTTTTTATTTGATGCAACCCAGTTCTTGATTTTTAGGTCCTGAGCCATTGAAGTCCTATTCATGACACCTCTGCCTATGCCTACAGCCATGTTTCCCCCATGTTATCTTCCAGCAGTTTCAAAGTTGCTGGTTTCATATCTTAAGTACCTTTCTTGCTTCCTTTTTTTGTACTAGGAATCAAACTCAGGACTTTGTGCTTGCCAGGCAGACATTTGTGCCACTGAGCTATATCCCTGGCCTCTCATCTGTTGTGATTTGATTTTAGTATAGGGTTAGTGATTTGCTTGGTACTAATAGGTAAGATCTACTAGGTAAGACCTAAGGATCTACTCTCAGTCTTCTGCACAAGGCTGTCCAGTTTTTCCAGTACCATTTATTGAAGAGGCTGTCTTTACTCCAGTATATGTTTTGTCAAAAATCAAATAGCTGTAGTTGCATGGGCTTATTTCTATGTCTTCTATTGTATTCCATCAGTGTCCATGTCTATTTTTCTACTAAAACTATGTTGCTTTTGTTACCATGGCTTTGTGGTATAGCTTAAAATCTGGTATTTTAATACCTCCAGTATTGGCTTTTTTTTCTCAAGATTGCTTTGGTAGGGCTAGCCAGATAGCTCAGTGGATTAAAGCACCTGCTTAGGCAAACACAGGGATTGGGGTTCGATCCCCAGCATGCCATACTGGCCCCGCCCCTGGGGCATGCTGAGATAGCAATTGAGACTGGGTGTGGTGGTGCACGTCTCTAATCCCAGCGCTTGGGAGGCTGAAAACAGGAGGATCACTATGAGTCTGATATGTGTAGTGAGACCCAGAAGACCCTGTACTAAATACATTTTAAAAAAAAAAAAAAAGATTGCTTTGGTTATTCTAGGGATTTTCTGATTCTATGTGCATTTTAGGATTTTTTTTTTTCTAGCTCAGTGGAGAATACTGCTGCTATTTTAATAGAAATTGCCTTGGATTTTGTAATATAGCTATTTTAACAATATTGGTTCTGCCAATCCATAACCAAGGGAAAGACTTCCATTTTCTAATGTCTGCTTCAATTTCTTCAGTGTTCTATTTTCATTATAGAGGTGTTAAGCAGTTTTTAATGTACTGTTTTATGTAATTCTCACTTTTCATGTGTCAAGTTATTTGATTCTTTAATACCCGTAACGCTTAGATACCTTTCTTTTTTCTGGTACAGAAGTCAAACTCAGGACCTTGTGCTTGTCAGGCAGACGCTGTGCCCTGAGCTATATCCCCAGCCCTTAGATACTAATACTACCTTTATTTTTAAAAATGAGAAAATTGAGGCTTAAGGATATTAAATGACTTCTTGAGATCACCTAGTTGGAAGGATTCCAGGACTTGCTGATGCCAGCATTCTTGGTCTTGACTCCCAAGTGGTAATGATCCTTTACAACCTATTCTAACTGGTTTCTGCCTTTAGATCTTTAGACTATTTCCACTTTTTTCTTCCCATGGATTCATAAAGCTCTTTCTGAATTTGAAATGATGTTCATAGAGAAAATTTCAAGAATAAAAAGTACTGAGTCAAAATATATGATATTTACATATAATGTCCAGTTGATTTCCAAAAAGCACCAAAACAAATTTATGGTCCCTAAAGCACCTTTGAATGTTCATTGTGTTAGATGCTGTCATTGTTTTATCTTATTTCACAGGCATAGCTCATCCAGGGGGTTATAACAATTGTATTTCCTTTTGTCTATCTTTGATTATTGGGGAATCCTGAATTATATGTAAGAAGTTATTTCTACTTGCATTACACATTTCTCTGTTAATATCCTTTGTTCCTCTATTAGAATCGTAATTTTTATATAAAATATACAGTACTTGCTCCCTAAAACTTCTCTTCTGTTGAAAGCTCAAAAACTTTCCATTGATTTAAAGCTAATTTTAATTTTCTACTGCCTGCTTCTGAGACCCCAGACCTGATAGCAAAAAGACCCAAGTAGCCTTACAGTAATTGTTCTCCATCTGAGCTGCCTATGCTAGAATCTTCTGAGGAGCTTTAAAAATTACTAGTGCCTGGGTCCTGCTCTCCAGGTCTTGATTAAGTCTGAGCTGTGATTGCAGATGGCAATTTTTTTTAAGTCACCATGGCTGGTTCTGGTGTGAGGTGACACCTTGGTCCAGCTTGTTGTGTACTTCCTGGTTTTAGCACTGAAATCTCTGTGTGCCGGGAGCCTGTCCCAGGTGAGCCAGGACAGGAGGCCATCCTACTATCCTCACATGAAGACAGGCTGAACTTGCTAGGAGAAGCTTTCAATCAGACCTTCTCCTCAACCTCCAAAAATGGTCGCTCGCCAGAACTAGTCCAAAGCTACCGTCAGGTGAAGGCATTAGCTCCAAGATCATTTAACACATTCTTGATGAGGCTGTAATTCATACATGTCACTGCCAGGTGGCTATGAGCCACCAGTGGTACATAGCTGACTGTCCCATGGAGCAGCATGGGACCGTCACATCAGGTTCAAGCTGGTGGGAAATTAAGTTCTGACAGTAAGTGGGACCTATAGATCCAGGGCTTGTGGTCAAAGATGGCTGTGACATCAGGACACAACCTCTTTACAAAGCTCTATGTGGGGACAATGAACTCCTTCTAGCCTTTGCGGTTGAAAAAGGCAAGAGATGGTTGAAACTATTATAGACAATAAATGTCCCTGAGAAAATCATCGACACAGCTTCTGTAACTTTGGGACCATCCATTCCCTGCCTCTAGGGCTTACACACAGACTTCTGTGTATCCCTTAGGCCCAGGCATCCCTCCTTAGCCTGGTACAGACTGTTCCATGCAAAGGGGTGTTTGGGAGCTGAAAAGTAAGAGATCCAAGTAGCGCCGGGGCCCGAAGCTTCCTGGAATATAAAAAGATACACAGGAGGTTCTTAATTATGGCACATTGTTTGCAGATTAGCACCCAAATCGGATCAGACTAATTACAGTAATTGATTTGACTGCAGAAGTGCTTCTGTATGATGCCCCACTGTGATTTCTACTCACTGGACAATGGTTGAATTAACGGGACTCTAGCCAGATTGGATGCGCTGGCAGAAGAGAGCCAGCTGCCCTCTGGGCTCGAGGACAGATAGGGGCTGGAGCGGAGGGGAAGGGCAGTGGGATAGCCTGCTCCGAAACCTGCCACCAACACTCTGGCTTTGCTGCCAGGCCCTGTGGACATCAGCATTGTGGCCAAATGCAATGCTTGCCTCTCCAGTCCGTGCAAGAACAATGCAACGTGCACCCCAGACCCCGTGGAGCAGTACCGCTGCACCTGCCCCTACAGCTACAAGGTAAGGTGGAATCCCTGCCCCTGTTCAGGCCCCAGGCTCCCCCTGAGTCCCGGCCCCCAGGAAGGGCACTGCCCTGGTGCCCACCCAGCTGACTACAGCCAAGGCAGCCTGAATAGCTGCCACTGCTGGCAGTGCTGGCCCCAGCATGACAAAGATACAGGGATGGGGAACTCAAAAGCTCGGGCATTACCAGGTCCCCCACATGTTGGCTGACTCAGGTCATCCAGCAGAAGAACTGAGAGCCCTGTTCATCCTTCTGTCCTTCCCAGACATCCCACGACATTCCCTCCCTCCTAACACTATCCAGAACACGTGACCCTGCCTCCCTGTGAACATCTGTAGGGTATGAGTGTGTACTTGGCCTTTTGCTCACCTTTTCTTTTTAAAGTCCCAGGGAGCCTAGGAAGATGGTCTCATTACCTGTGAGGACACTGGGCTTCAGATTGTCAACAGCGTTTGACTCAGTGTGAGCAATAGGTTTGGGATTAGGACCAGGGCTGTATGACTCACAAGCTAAAGTCTTCTGCCCTGGAGGGTTTCCTACATAGCTGAGCCCCTCACTGGGCCTCACAGGGCTCAGCTGGGCTATAGTATGGTCCCCTTTTGCAGGGCTCTCCCAGGTTCTGGCCATCCAAGACACCCATTCCAATGTACTGAGCAAGTCAAGAGTTGTAAAATAGCTGGGCAGCTCTTTCAGTGCACTCACCTGGCACAGGCTGAGGGGCAAGGGCTGGCGTTGCCACATCTCCATCCCCAGAGGGAATGTGCATGTGTAGTGACAAGCTGGAGAGGCAGACTCTATCTTGGGAACGGGAGTACCTGGTGGCTTTCTCGCACGGCCCATGCTTCCAGTGGATGGTGTCAGACTGCCACCTATTGGCCTGGGCCAACAGATCCCTAGGGTTGTCTTTGAAGCCAGCCAGCTACCACCAAAACCTGGAACTCACTAGCAGCCCAACTCTCTCTGCATCCTGCACACCCACACATTTTATTGGTTGGGAAGAAGACAAATTGAGAGCAGACCTGCTCAGGAGGCTTGCTCCCCCGAAACTACCTTGCATAGGTTCAGTGGAGAAAACTCAGATTGGACACACAGAGAAGCACATATGGATTCTAGCCTTGTCGTTTACTAGCTGTGTGGCAGTGGTCAGGAGCGCCACGTGAGCCTTCCTACCTGCACACGAGGACCTGTCTTGCAGGTTTGCTGTGAGAATCATGCATACAATAATGAAAGCGATACACCTAGGACAGGACCTGGAGGTCGGTAAGCACTCGGCCCGCTAGCATACTGCTTCCTCTACCTTCACCCTTGCTGCCAGGGTGTAAGATGAGCCATTGGTAACAGGTGGCATGTTACTGCCTTCACCATGGAGTAACAGTCTGCGACACTGCCAACTGTCATTGAGCTTCAGTCATCACCTTAGAACTATGACATGGGCATAGCTCCCCATTCTGGTGCATGCAGCTAGTTCTTTTCTTTCCCCCTCTCCCTTTCCTTCTTCCTTTCTTCCTTCCTTCCTATTTTCCTTTTCTTTTTTCACGACATCAGGGATTGAATCCAGAGCCTCATGCATGCTTAGCAAGTACCCTACCATTGAACTAAATGCCTCAACGCAAGTAGAATTCTCTTTTTAATTAACTAAGAAGCAGTACTCAGCTAGACTTACACATTTACTATTCATTCTATAGTTTTTATAATCACCTTCAGAGGTGGATGGCGTCCTCTCCAATTTACAGATAAGTTAGACCATTCACATTCTCAGCTTGTTTCCTTCTCTTTAAAATTATCTGAGCATGAGTTGAGGCTTCTGCCAACTACACTTGGCCACACCATGAAACATAGCCTGACTGTTATTTTCAGAGCAGCAAGTGCTGCTCTGTAAAGCTGCTACAGGGAGATGCCACTTGGCTCAACTTTGGTCATAAGATTATGAGAATCTTTCTGACCTCAGAAGAATCTGAGTGAGATTTTGACCTTAAAACAACCTCTGGCTGGAGCAGGTCTTGGGTATATGATGGTGAGCTTCCTAGCATTCCAGGAGTATGCAGTTTGCTCTGCCTGCCGCTATACAAAATGAGGTACACGTGTTTGTTGTCTTGCATGCTCTTCATCAAAGTCCTAGGACAGTGACAACGAACCTTTTAGCGCTTTCATGGTACAAAGAGCCTGCTGCGACACTTGTGCCCTAGGTTCACAACCACTGCTATAGGACATAGCTCCTAAAATGACCCTTTCTAATTGAAAAAACTGAGCATAGTAGAGAAGGGAGTTAGGGTTCAAAGCTCAGAGCCAAATGATTCCAGAACCCAGGATCTGGTCACTTCTTTCACTGCCCATTGGCAACTGCAGTGATTTCAGGGCCTGAGGGGTGGCCGCTGGCATTTAGAACCTTTCTGAATCTCCAGTGTAGAGAATCACAGGATAGTGTGAGAAGGAACACCAGACAGGCTCCTCCAGCACCTGGTTCCACTTGGCCATGTGACCTTGGGTGGCTGCTGCTCTCCTCCTGTTTTCTCAACTGTAAAATGGAGCAAGGTGAACCAAAAAGATCACTCATCAGCAGACTTCACCCCATGCTGAGTTCACTGCCTCCCTTCTCCCTGGGCTCACAGATGTACCCAAGCACAGCCACAAAGACAAGGTGCTGAGCTGACACCTGTCCCAGTGACCTATGAAACCAAGCTGAGGCATTTGCCTAGCTCTTTCCAGATACCTCGTTCATTGGATTAACTGCAAGAGTTTGGGAAGCCACAGTATTGTGAAACAGCACAGCGATTTAAGTCCATTACTTCTTACGGTACTCTTATTTGTCCTGTGAAATAAGCTTGACTGGTAGGTGAAGAAACAACTTGTAAAGTTCAGAGAACTTGGGCAGAATCCCATACCTAGGGAGCACATGCACTAAAACCAGATCCAGTTATCTCTTACCAGAAAATGTGCCTTGAATCATTTCATTAGTCACCAATTCTATCTCAGCCTTTTTCCCATGTGTAAATGGGAACAGCCATACTCATCTGCAAAGCTGCAGTAAGGACGTAAGGACCACATGTGGACTCAGCCTGCCTCCCCCAGGGCTAGACTTCAGTGGACATTTTACAGAGGATGACTATCTTCCAGCTACTCTAAGATCTGGGGAAATAAATTCGGTTGGCTGGTTGTTTTTCAGCCATTGATCTTCACGCACATATGTGGAGTGTCTCAGAGCAATGCTTCTCAGAACTACAGTGTGCACAAGATCTCACTGAAATGCAGGTTCAATTCATAAAACCTGAGGTCAGGCCTGAGACTATGCATTTTTGACGCACCTCACGGGATGCCAATGCTGTTAGTCCATGGACCATACTTTAAGTAGCAAGGTCTTAGATCAGCCCTACCAGCCCCATCTCAGAAAGTGAAGAGCCCTCTTGCCAATCCCTTCTAAAGGAAGCCAGAAGCCCCTGCCATCCACCATGTCCATGTCTTCTCTCCCACCTCACACACACACACACACACACACACAGAGCAGGGCAGGGAATAGAAATTGGAGGACCAAAGAGCATCATAAGCTTAATGTATTTAAGCAAAACACAGCTGAAAAGAATTGGCCTAATTAGGGAGGCATTGGCTACAGTGATTATTTCTCAGGACTCATAAGTGTCAGAAATTCCCTCCTCCAGCCCCAATTACCAAACCATCATGTACTATGTCCCCTAGATATCTTGTGTTCTTGCGTAAAGGGCTAGCAGAGACACAACCACCTCTGCTTCCACCCTCCTGAGGATTCAACCCAGCCATTGGTTATTCACAAGTTATCAAGCATAGAAAGGCTGGCCCAGACAGGGACTAGGGACATCTGGCACTACAGTTTTTAGCACCAAACAAGGACTTGAAAAAAGCTAGGTGTGGTGGTGCATTCCTGTAATCCCATCACCCTGGAGGCTGAGGCAGGAGGATCGCCATGAGTTTGAGGCCAGCCTGCACTATCAAGGTAGACTATGTGTCAAACAAATAAGCTAACAAAGACCTGAAAAAATATTTTAATAACCCGCATTCAACTGTGCACCAGACCCCAGTCATTGTCACCCTTGTCATCGTTTACAGAGTTGCCATCACATACGAGGCATCTTAGAGATATGTGATTTTTTTCACCATTAGTTAATGCCCGATGGGGTACATCGGCATTGAATACTCCTTATCTGAAATGCATGGAACCAGAAGTGTTTCAAATTTCAGATTTTGGAATATTTTCATATGTGTAACAAGATACCGTGGGTATAGAACCCAATTCTAAGCAACAAATTCATCTGTATTTCATGTAGACCTTTCACACGTACCCTGTAATTACATACAACATTTTTGCCATATCTGCATTTGGACTGCAAGCCATCATGTGAGGGTATATGTGAAGTCAGTGCTTAAAATAGTTCGGAGTTTGGATCATTTCAGATTTTGGATTTTTACATTAGAGATATTCAACCTATATTATTCCCATTTCACAGGGGATGAAAACAAGGCTTGGAGAGAACTAGTTGTTTCTTCAAGCTACACAGCCACCAAGCTAGGCTTTGCACTCTGAATAGTTTTAAGAAGATCAGAGTAAGTGGTCCAGCACAGAGGCTGGCCCTGGCTTTGGACTCAGATGCCTTGTTAGGCTGCTTCCTGCCTGCCACACGCACTGCCCCTGCAGTCTCAGGGCAGTTACCTCACTTTTCAAGTCAGCCTTTGCTATCTGTGAAAATGAGTGTAATAACAATTGCCGTGATCTCATGGGGTTTCTTGTGAACATTATATGCAATCATGAATATAAAACACTTAGCATGAGGCCAGGAATGGAAAATGTGCTCAATAATATATGTGAAAATTAGTACTACAGTTTCACATACTGACTTTTGGAACCAGGATGTGTTGCTCTGGCTTAGGATATGCCCAGCTACCACCCCTAACCACACTGTCCCTCTCCCTGCTGAGAAACTTCTGACTGATCCTTAAACGCTGATGGGACAGAAACTTGCATCAGGAAGGAGACAGCAAAGCCTATGGCTTCTGCCTGCTGAGGCAGGGACCCGAGACTGCAGGGTTTCAAAAGCTAGGAGGATGCCTTCGAGAGTGTCCACAGCGGAGGCTGTCCTGGGCCAAGCCTGCAGGCTTAGTTGGCAGTCACCGCACAGCCAGGAAGCCCCAGTCCCATGCCATCACAGGTGCTGGCAGCAGCAGAAGAGGGAAGTAGACTTTCTCAGGCAGATGGCAAGCAGGTGGTGGTGGCAGCGGGAGGGCTCCCATGATGACCCCCACCTGGCATATGCCCGAGCCCTAAGCCAATGGCCCAGAAACACACAGTAGATACCTCCCCAGGGCCGCGCCACCAAGTCCTGCAAAAGGCTACTCGCCAGTACTTGGGTGCAGCCTTTGTCTGTCAGTCCCAAAGCAAAAGCAGGTGCCAAAGGGTTGAGAAGAGTTGGGCTGCTCCCTGGGACCCTGAGTCTAATGCCCACCCCCTTGGTGCCTTTGTCCTTGCTGTTCTTTCTGCCTGACATGATCCTCCCCACCTGCCACAGTTGGCTTCTTGTCAGCTCCAGCATTCCCTTCTGAGGAGCCTGGTCCAAAGAAACCCAGCTCAGCCTGGCCTAACCTTGGACTCCCCTGCAGAATTCCGGAATAAATGCCAACACCTGGCCCTCACTCCAGACCAATGGAGGATGCATCTCGGGGGTTGTCGTCACCTAGGAGCTCTATTGGTTCAGTCCACCTTCAGCCTCGTCTACCCTGCTCAGGTTGTAGACTGTAGGGAAACCTCAGTGAGGCTGACAGTAATGCCATCTACTAGCACTTATAGGATGCCTGCTGTGTGCTAAATGGGTCATACAACTGCAGTGTTCCTTATGTGGAAGCTCTAGTCCCATTCCCAGAACGGCCTTCTGAGACATAGAGGCTTCTTTGCAAGGTCAAGGTCATCCAGGCAGGAAGAGGCAGTACTGGAATGTGAAGCCAGGGTCACCTGCATGCAAACCTGGGGTTCTCGCCCAGCAGCATCATATGGAAAAGTGCACCAGTTCAAGGAAGTGGGAAAGCTGTAGCCTGTACTCCGGTGCTCTCGGCATTCTTCCCTTTCTCATTGTGGCAGGACGGCTCCCTCTAGCTGGCCCCTAGTCACAGACCCTTGTCCCAGAGGCTTTGTGACACCATCTCAGCTTCATCCCGGAAGATGCTGGGTCTTAGCAGCAGTCAAAGTCCTCCTCACCGTGTGCTTCTGTTCCTTCTGCTCCTCAGGGCAAGGACTGCACCGTGCCCATCAACACCTGCATCCAGAACCCCTGTCAGCACGGAGGCACCTGCCACCTGAGTGAGAGCTACAAGGATGGTTTCAGGTAAGTAACAGCTCCCAGGGACTCCTCTCACAGGCACCCTCCTGTGAGTGATGTCAAGGGTTTTTGTAGCTTGGAAAGAAAGTGTTATTATTCTTGCCATACAGATAAGCAAACTGAGGCAGCCAAAAGCTAAACCCTTGGCCTGGAGTTACAGGGTCAATACTAGCCTCTCCTCTGTGAGCCAGGAAGTCTCCAAGGAAGGCTACAGCTGCTGGCTGAAAAACCTGCCAGCCTGGCAATCCCGCCACTCTTTTCTAGGTTATAAATAATAATTAATAATAATAATAATAATGGGTCCTATCAAAGACAGTGCTCTCATGTGTCAGGCACTAACTAGTCATGCATCTTATTTAAGCCTCGTGACCCTAGCCAAGCATAGGAAGGTCCTGTCCTCACTGAGTACATGGGCATGGAGCCTGATTTGCTCTGGGTGACATATTCTAATACTGGTTCCTGGGTCTTCTAACCCTAACTCCAGTCCTCTCTCCACTGGTATTAAGGTCTCCAGAAGGAAAAGGGATAGAAACCATTTAAGTTAAGCTGTCCTAGGGGTGGCCTTAGGCCTTTTGCCAGGCCTCACTCCCCCTTCCTGCTTCCTGCCTCCCCCAGCAGCTTGTAGATGCCCAGGCTCCCCAGGCTATTAGCCTGGCAACTGCAAACCATCGAGAAGCGGCTCTTTTGGCACAGCGTGCAGGGCAGCAGCTCCTCTGCAGTAAAGGCGAGGCCCTTGTGCCAAGCTCTGGGCGGATATCCTGGAGCTCAGGTTGTGAACAATTCATTATCAGAAGCATTGTGGCCAGAGGCTGCTGTGTGGGCTGTGGAAGAAATCAAGTTCTGGGCTCCCAGTTCCCCCTGCTGAGCCCAGCCAGCCCGTGTCCTCCAGCCAAGCCAGCCCCATCAAACCCTGACTCTTGAAAACTGAAACTCAAGGTGAACTTCCTGTTCCTGCCTGGAGTCAGCCAAACCACCCACTTCCTCCTGCTCACTGAAAGCAAGAGATGGGAGAAAGGATGAGGGACCCTTACCTCCGGGGCTGAAAGCCTGACTGTACCACACCACAAGGAGGAGCTTCCTCTGCAGGCTATCCTGCACCACCAAATATCTTGTTTCCATCCTAGGTCTTTGAGGGGTTTCAGATGAATAGGAAATATCTCCAAAGCTTAATTGGAAAGGCAAAAGGCCCAGATCTACAGGATTCAGGAGATGGGTTAGAAGGTGAGGGCAATAAGGCAAAGGCTGGGGACACTACGTTTTGTGCATGCTGCTGAGGAGGAGAAGGAAGGGTCTGTTGCAATATGTCAGCTCCAGGCAGGCTGGTGCTGGCCAAAAGAGCTTTGTGTGCTCTTCCCTCCTAAGTCATTTCCTAGGCCTGCCATGACAAAGCATAACAGGGCAGCAATGTATTTCCTCATGGTTCTGAAGATAGCAGTCCAAAGCCTGGAGTTTACTGCTGGCTTCCTTTGTCTACAAAGGAGATTAGTCCACCACAGAGGAACCACAGGAAGGGACATTTAGAAGACAGCTGTGGGAATTTAAGCCAAATCCAGGAAACCACTTTCAGCTGGGGAATGGTGAGGCACTGCTAGTAGGAATTGCCTCCGGGGCCAAGGCAGCCAGCAAGAAGGACTGGAGACAAAACAGGCTAGAGACAAAATGACCAGGAGACTAGATTAAATGACCCTTAAGGGCCCGGGACCCCAAGGCATTGGGTGTGTGGAACCATGCCTTGGGCCTCCACGCAAAGCAGAGACCTAACTAATGTATTTCACACCCTCTCCCTTCCTCTCTACCACCCCTTCCCTGGCCTCTGGCTCCCCTGTAACCTTCACACCTGAAGCTGCTCCTGCCCCCTGGGCTTTGAGGGGCAGCGGTGTGAAATCAACCCAGATGACTGCGAGGACAATGACTGCGAAAACAATGCCACCTGTGTGGACGGGATCAACAACTATGTGTGTGTGTGCCCACCGAACTACACAGGTGAGGGGCTGGCAGAGCACCAGCCTATGCTTGAGGGGTGAGGGGAAGAAGTCACTAGAAGAGTCCCATCTTCTTTATGGTGTTCCTGCAGGAGGTGGGACTGCACCCTCTTTCTCCTGGTGGACAAAGCTAAGATCCCAAGACTGTGACAGGCTATAAGAGGTGCCCCAAAATCCTAGATTGACTCATCCATCTCCTGTACCCCCACTCCCATGCCCAGCTGGTCCCCAGCTCCTTCCCACCCTGAAACAGGCTTCCTGGGCCCTTCCGGCTGTTTGTTCACTCAGTATCTTTAAGGTTGGTGGGGGGCACATGTACTGTTTGAGGTCTAGGCAACCATCTCTGGAAATCTGCATTTTCCAGACATTCTGCTAGGAACTGGGAACATAAAAGCGAGCAAGACAAAGTTCCTTCTCATAGAAAGCTCATAGTCAAGTAGAGAAAAACACATGGATTCCATAGAATGAGAACACACCCTGTTGAACCCCAGGGAGCATGGGGGCACAAAGCAGAACGGGTCCCAGCTGAAGGCTGTGGATGTCTCCTCACAGGGGTGTTCTGCTCAGGAATATCGTTCTACCCACCCACCCTGAAACAAAACGCCTTTATTTCCTAGTGTCGCCTCCCCCAATGAGAAGAGTGAAATACAGAATGTGATTGTGAAGCAAAATTCCACAGTTGATGCAAACACAGCTCACTTTGTTATGCGACCAACCTAAAGTAGAATGCACCAGCCTAGAATTCCAAGGTTCTATGAATTCTTTGAGGAGGAATCTACATGGATTTTTTTTTAAAGCCTTAAAATTGCTGTATATAATAATAGCCCTCTTCTTGGAGCTTGTGATGTAAATTAGCATGTTAGAGGTTCCAAAAATTCCTACTTTAGAGGAGCCCTTTAAGATTGTTTAACCCAGCAGTTCCCACACTTGGGTGATCTCAGAAGTTCCCTCTAACCCCACCATGCCACACCGTTACCACCCAGAGGTACTGTCTTATAAAAACCATATTTTGAAATGCTGGCCTAAGGCAAGGCCTAAGTGAGAATGATACAGCTCGGGGGGCTGCCAAGTCCTTGCCCACTGGAACTTGGTTTTATGTCAAGAATGTAATGATGAGTGGGATGATTTGGGTGTTGGATATGAACTGAAGCAATCCTCAGAACTGCAGCGAAGGAAGCTGAGAAGGAAGCCAAGTGGCTGCCTTTGCCCCTCAGATCCTTTGCCTTGAAGCCTCTACCCAATAGCCATGTACCCCCAAGCACACCAGTGGAACTGATGGTGCATTTCAAGGCCAACTGGGAAAACTCACCCACCTATTAGTCCTGAGCTTCCTGGCTTGACAAGGCTTTGTGCTGGGAGAATGTACAGGCAAATCTCCCTTCTGCCCAAATCCTCCATCTTCTGAGGGAAGGGTTCCATTAGCAACAGGGAGCACTTGCTGTGTACCTGCTATGTAGGTAGCTCTTAGAGACACCAAGAAATCTAAAGCAATATTCTCAGCCCACAAGGTACATCTGATCCACCTAAGATAAGAGGAAACACTGGATAAGTTGAAGTCGTCATTCTAAGAACAGAGGTGCTCACAATGGGCTCTGTGTGCACCAGAGAAGGGGCCTGGCCTGAGCTCACAGCAGCAGCTAGGCAGCGGAAGGGAAGCTGAGGAGACCTGGCCCCTGTCTCAGTGGGATGCACCTGTTATCTGCAGGTGACCGAGCTGTCTTGGGATTGCAGTCTACTGTACTTTGTGCCCAAGAGCGGCACTGTGGTCTCTCTACCCCCCAAAATGTTCTAAACTGATACTCATCTGCTCATTTGGGTCCAACTGATGAGGACAAAAGGGAGGCCCAACCCAGTGGCCCTTGTGGTCCATAGCAGATAATGTGCTGTAGCTGAAGGACCCTTCTCAGGACAAACCAGGAGCCAGCTTGTCCCACCACAGCAAGGGTCAGGCTGTCATTCATCCAATGCCCAGCCAACCCCAGGACCTCCTTCTGCCCTGTCCCCTGGGGTCAGCTACCCAGGCAGCCTCCTTTCAATCGCATTCTTACCTCGTCCTGCAGAGAGCTTCAGTGGTTAGAAGTTTCCCCTCAGATCACTCTCCACCTGATTCAGCTGGGTGGAATTTGAGGCAACCCAGAAGTCAGACCTTACAATCCTGCATGGCATGGGAGAGGCGCTTGGGTTATGTATTCAGTGGTGTGAGCTTACGGGGCCTCTGAGCAGGGGCCATCCTGGTACGAAGGACCCATAGGTATTTTGCAGCCCTGGAGACTTCAAAGGCAGCATACCAGACACTTCAAATTCCTTTCATATTTCCTTTCCCTGGAAAAAACCCAAAGGGTTTCCTTATCTGTGACGGGTGAGCAAGGCTGCTCAGCACAGTCTGCTCTTCCAAGCAGCCCCATCTGACCTCCGAGGCAAGGTTATGAGTCTCCGTTGTGCCCCTAGAGCCTACCCCATGATGGCGCTCCCAGTTGAGCACTGTAGTTGCCTGCCTGTACATCCCCCCCACTAAGCCATGGCGGAGGACAGGATTGGGCCACATCTACATGAGAGACGCTCAGTAAACTGATAGGAAATAAAAGAATAAGCATTCAGCTCAGGGTCTGGGCTACAGTATCCGCCCCTGCCTGATCAAATAAAACAGCCCAATGATGTTGTCATGACAGTGGCCAGGAGGGTCCCTGAGATCTTTCCATTGCTGCTGCTAGGAAAAATAAGGCAGAGGTCCAGAAGCAAGGATACCCCAAAAGAAGTATGCAGGGCTCTTGATATCTATAGCGTTGTGACCAGGGCTGAGAGAAGCCCAACCTCCTTGCCTGGAGACCCCTCATGCCTGAGTTATTCCCTACTTCTGCCAGGTGAGCTGTGTGATGAGGTGATTGACCACTGTGTGCCCGAGATGAACCTCTGTCAACACGAGGCCAAGTGCATCTCCCTGGACAGAGGATTCAGGTAAGGCCTGGCCTCATTGCCCAGCACAGGCCCTGTCAACTCTGCCTCCAGCTATCCGATTTGAGCTTTCAGCATGGCGGGTTCGCTCTATGCCTCTCCTTTTCAAAACTAAGGCGGTCGAGCCATCCTACAGATATCCCTGTTGAGGGACAGGGGAGGTCATTTCTTAACCTTGTTCTTCTGGTTCTGGGTACTCTGGGGTTCTGAGAAAGGAAAAACCTGCTAAAATACAGAATGAGGGGGCAGGGGAGATGGCTCAGTAGTATAAGCATTTGCCTGGCAAGTGCAAGGGCCTGAGTTCAATCCCTGGGTTCCATCAAAAGTAACAATAATAATAAAATACAGAAGGAAGTCCCACCCCCTTTAGATGGGACTTGAACCTGAGAGAACCAAGAGAATCAGATGGGCTGAGCTGGAGGGAGGGTGTAGTAAGGAAGGGTTAGGAGGGCACGGGAGCAGGTCTTTCCTTGGGTGGTCCTTTCTGTTTTGGCATATCAAGCCCAGAGCTCATCACTAGTGAAAATGTAAGAGGTATAATAGGGCCTCTGTTCTGCTGAGAGCAAATGAAGCAGCAGTCCTTCCATGCCCCTACGCTGTTCAGATGTACCCTACCTGCCCCGTGTTCCTCTAAGATCTGCCAGGTGAGACTTTCAGACAGCCGTCCCCTGAGTTTGGGGGTGAGGGGTGCCTCCCCCACCCCCGCTCTCCACCCCAGGATTTGGCTTCCCCTGAAGTCTTGCACTGGGAGGTGGGGCAGAGCAGAATGCAGGGCAAGGGGGAAGGGGAGGGGGACAAAGAAACACAAACTCGGACCCAGAGCAGAGCAGCCTGGTACTCCCTGCACATACGCAGAGCACGGCAGACTAGACGGGCAAGTGGGTGCTTCAGCTGTACCCAGAAAAGAACAATGAGCAGGGACTCTGAGGATGAGTGCCCGTGGCAAGATGGATGGCATTCTAGGCCTAGGGGGCAGAAAGCAAGCCCAGAGGGTGCTTTCTTGAGAGGGCGTGGCGGCTGGGCAGAGGCGGGCTGGGCACCGGCCTGAAGTAGCAGTGCTGGGAATTACAGCTGCCACATTGTCATGATCCTTTCATGCTTGATCTTACTGTCTTTTGTAACCTAGAACAATATAAAAAAGAAAGAAGCCGCTCAACTTTTGGTAATCTTAGGTATTTTATTTCTAGGAATGTCTCTGAGAAGCTACTATCTCGAGGTCTATGAAACAGCTCAGTAAAATTTTTATTCAAAAAATTAACATTTTTGAATAGCCTTTACATCAGTACAGTGAGACATTTCATCTGTCTCCTCCCCTCATCAAACAGGTCATAGCCCAGCCCCCACAATCCTTGCTGTTATTTTCCTAGGGGACTATTAATAAGACACACAGTCAGCATGGCCTTCGGCTAGGTCTGAAGATATTTGTCTTTGGAGGTCTGCTGTGTACTCCTCCAGTGAGGCTTCCATGGAAGGTGCACAGTGCCTGCCCATGAGTGCTGCGAACAGCCAAGCAAAGCTCACGAAGCCCCGCTGGTGTTGCGAGCTTGTCCTGGGCCGTTGGCTGGCCGCGCACATCTACGTGATGGGTCACCGTGTAGCAGATGGTGCCATTTTTGAGCACAGGTTTAGTCAATCCTTGGATTCCAGAGCTGTTCCCTTTGAGGACACAACGCGCCTTCACAGATCTCTCCTTGCCCTGAAACCCGCAGGGTGCACCGGGCCCTTCTGAGCCCCAGCAGCGCCGGCTCCATCTCAATTGCGTCCACTGCTCAGGCAGGGAGTGAGGTGCGGGTAGAAGGACCGTCCTCTGCCTCGGTTCTTCCCCGTTGTCGCTCCACGTGTTCAGTGTTCCTGCTTGCCCCTCCCCCACCTCCCCATCCCGCCTCCCGGAGAGGTTGTGATTACTATTTTTACTCTATCCAACAGAATTCCCCTGTTAGGATCAGAGAAGCGCAAAATCTCTGCAGGAGACAGAAGCCACTATGTGCTATGTGTCCTAAGCCCCCGACCTTGGTGTCCTCGGGTCTGATTCCACACTGAGGTTTTAGTGTTACCCTTCACAGAAAAACCCAGACATGCATATTCAGGGAGCCCCAGTGCCTGCCAGAGTAGCTTTATTTCCCTCTAGATTTCCAACCTGGGCTGGCAGAGATCTCAGCGGATCTCTGGGTACAGTGCGCCCTAATGAAGGGCTGGATCCCTGCCTGGGGCTGGGGTGGGGCCATGGCTGCCATCTCCTCTCCCAGTTTATTAAAGGAGAAGAGATTTTGCTCTTCTTAGTTCAGATCTTTAGAAGGGTGAGCAAGCATGAAACAAAATCGAGGGAAGTGACAACAACGTCATTTCATCTTCACTGCCATTCCTAGCATCTCCAAATCAAATTGACTGTTTGCTCAATGTTCTGTGCACTTCACAGAGTCTGTCATTTAATTTTTAAAGCAGCCCTAAGAGGCAGAGTTATTTATTGTCAACTACATTTATAAAGAAAATTCGAGACTCAGAGGTAAAAAGTGGTTGATGCACTTAGAACAGCGCCTGGCGCACAGTAACTGTAAACTATCACTCAGAGGGGTCCACAGAGTGATTCAGCACTGGCTGAGCTCCGGTTTCTTCATCATGCTAGCCCCCCCTGTAGGACACTGGGAGAACTATGAGACCCTGATGGGAAGGGGCTTAGCATGGTGCCCGCACAGTGGGAGGACACATCTGACTATCAGAGCCAGGGAGAAGGTGGCAGATCCAAGCCAAAAGCTGAGTGATTCCACCCTGTGCTTTTTAGTCTGACCTCTAAAAACAGGACTTCCCCTACTACATGAAGCAGAGACACCTTGACCTCAGGGGACAAAGACAAGGGACCCACTGGTGAGGCTGAATCACAGAGCCAGACCTGATGGGCCTATAAGGCACTTGACTGATAGAAACAGAGAGGGGCTGCCCAGCACAGGAGGGCCTGAGAGCTACCACTAGGAAGCTGGCCTGGCCCTGAGGAACAGCTCCGCTCTGCCTGTGTTCCAGGTGTGAGTGTGTCCCTGGCTACAGCGGGAAGTTCTGCGAGATAAACAATGATGACTGCGCTGCTCACAAGTGCCGCCACGGGGCCCAGTGTGTGGATGCAGTCAATGGTTACTCGTGCATCTGCCCCCAGGGCTTCAGGTATGGTGGAGGGCACTTTGGGGAGGGGACAATCTGGACCCTCATGGCAGTGGGTGGAGACTGAGGCCCAGTCTTCACTATAGCAGCTCAGGGCAACTCTACTGACATATTATGCTTGAGTCTGATTCTGTCTACTAATGACAGGTGGCAGTACCTTGGAGCCCCCGGCTTACAGGGTGGAGTCACCACATGCCCATGTAGGCCAAAATCCTTCTTCTAGCTACATAACAAAAATATAGTATCTCAGTAGCAGAAAAAGCTGAATGTTCAGCATGCAAAAATCCTGTGTTCAATCTCCAGTACCACAAAAGAGAGAGGAGGGAGGAGTGGGAAGGAGAGAGGGAGAGGAGGAGGAGAAAGGGGGAGGGGTGAAAAGGAAAAAGAGAGGAGAGGAACAGCATGGTGGAGGAGGAGAGGAAAAGAGGAGAGGGAGTTGGAAAAAGGGCAGGTGAGAGAAGAGGAGAGGGAGAAAGAGAAGGAAAGAAGAGAGAGAATGGCAGTGACCAGGAGGATTTGTGCTCAGTGAAGCCAGAAGAAAAGGGGAGGGCTGGGGAGATAGTTCAGCAGCATAAGCACCTGCCTGGCAAGTACAAGGTCCTGAGTTTGATTCCCAATACCACCAAAAAAATAAATAAATAAAAGGTGGGGGGAATAAAGCACTGTCCAGGTGCTGGATGTTTGCACCCTAACACTGCTTGGCAGGGACAGAAGGGGTTGAGTGAGGAAGGGTCCATATTTAAGGGGGCTTAGACTGGGGTTCAGTTCTGTGTACACCAGTATTCACTAGATGGCCTAAATGCAGAAGACGCAGATTTTGAGTACACAAGCCTGGAAAAAGACCTGGAGTTCTCGAGAGCAGCGTGTCTCAAAGCTCCGCTGAGGTCATCTGCAGCAGAGGTGGATGAAAATTAAAATTCCTGAGCCCCATCCCAGAGCTACTGAGTTATACTTTGAGGATGGCAAAAATTTGGGCTGAGAATCTGCACTTAAAAAAAAAAAACTATGGGGGCTGGTGAGATGGCTCAGTGGTCTAAAGCACCTACTTGGAACAAGCTTGGCAATGCACAGGGACCGCGGTTCAAATCCCCCAGCACCACATGCCAGCCAGCCCCGCCCCCTGGTGGGCTGAGCTGGCCACACACACACACAAATTTAAAAAAAAAATTTAAAAAAAAAACTATGATAAAATATACATAACAAAATGTATCATCTCAACTGTTTTTAAAGAGGTTGTTCCATGGAATTATACACGCAACCATTACGCACCAGAACTTATGCATCTTGCTAAACAGAAACTCTTACCATTAACAACTCTGTACTCTCCTGGAAGCCCCTGGTAACCTCTACTCTACTTTCTAGTTATATGAAATGAGCAGGTGCCTCATCTAAGTGGAATCACAGCATCATCCCTTGTGGCTGTTTCACTTGGCACAGTGTTCTCGAGGTCTATGCCTGCTGTAGTGCATGTCACAATTCTTTTTAAGGATGAGCAGTGTCCCACTGGCTGGCTATGCCACATCTTGTGCATCCATCCATCTGGCCTGGGATGAGAATCTGCACTTTCAACAAATTTACTCCAGGCAATTCTGATGAAACTCAGATCTGGGGGCCTGAACTCTCATCTAATGCAGTTATTAAAAAAAAAAAAAAATTAAGGAACTGGAACTTAGAGACAGGAAGGACTTGCCCAAGTTCATGGCAGGGCTGGTTCCAGACCCTGGCTTTAGCCTTTTGTCCCATCTCCCACCACCTTTCTGGTGTAGGTTCTTTGGAAACAAGTGGCTGTCCCCTCCTCACCCCCTTCCCATCCCCACCCATGCTCCTCTGCCTCCTTGCAGTGGGGTCTTCTGCGAGCACCCCCCACCCATGGTCCTGCTACAAACCAGCCCTTGCGACCAGTACGAGTGCCAGAACGGGGCGCAGTGCATCGTGGTGCAGCAGGAGCCCACCTGCCGCTGCCCACCGGGCTTCGCCGGGCCCCGGTGTGAGAAGCTCATCACCGTCAACTTTGTGGGCAAGGACTCCTACGTGGAACTGGCATCTGCCAAGGTCCGGCCCCAGGCCAACATCTCCCTTCAGGTACGTTCTGCTTCACACTGCCCTTGTGAGGGCCCTAATGTGCCATGTTATGATTGTGCAGAAAACTGCTGGGTACCCCAGATGGGAGCAGTCCTGCCCTTTCCCCTCAAACATTGTTAAGGTCACTGCTCAGCTTTGGGGAAGCCGGACCAGATCTGTCCGGACATCTAGAACTACCCCCGGGCCAGCTTCTCGGCATGCAGCAGCCTCATGCACTGACTCCTCTAGGAAATACTTGATCCACAGTTACATGCTAGGCACAATGCTGAGAAGTGGGGATTCAAGGGTAAACAAGACACACAAAGCACTTTGATGGCCCAACATGGCAAAGAAAGCGACAGTGACAACGGGGCTGCTGTGGAAGTACACAGTAGGGGTGTAACCCTCACTTACTGAAGAATCAGAAAAGGCTCCCAGAGGTGAAAATAAGCAAGCTTAGAGCTGAAGAATAAGTACTTTATCTGGCAAACAGAAGGGTAGGGTTGGTGGGCACAGGGTGAAAAACAGGGAAACTAGCTGAGAAACCAGCATGTGCAAAGGCTCAAAGGCACAAACAAGCAGAACCTTTAGGGAGAATGGAAAACCATTTAGTAAAAAAGAAGATTTTTTTTCTAAATAACATTTTCAGCTTCTTTGCCTTTGGACCAGAGCACGTGCAATACAAACCGTATTTTTTGACAACCTAAGAGTTGTTCTAGGGGTGGAGGTGGGAAGAGAAGGTTTGTGATAAAGAACAAGGCCCTGAGTACAGGGGAGGTCTGAGGGGCAGCCTCAGAGACACCACAGCCCCAGTAACCACCAGAGTGCCGTCTGGGACAACAGGCTGCTGCCCATCAGTGGCCTCTGCCCCTTGGGTGCGGGTGCTGCTGCGCACTAACTCAGCCTCATCCCTCCTCTTGGTGATGGCCACATTTAACCTGGAGTGTGTGGGGGAAAAGCTCATTCAATAAGCACCTACCTGATAGCCACCATTCTAGGCCCTGGAAGTGCAGAAATTCAGGAAAAAGTCAAACTTCCTCCCACGGAGCCTGCAGCCAATGGAAAGGCCCCTGGGAAGAAGGCTGGTGCTAGGCACCAGCAGAAAGGAAGGAATTTCCGGTTGTCACACCCCCTTTAGCCCTTGCTCAGGCCCAAGACATTAGGTCCCCAGTGGCCAGGGCAGCACCCACTGTCCCAGATGTCAGGTTCCTCTGACACTTACTGCTGCACATCCCATTCCTTAGGCCAGGTGGGAGCTGGGCAGTGGGAACCCACACGCCTAGCAGAGACTCATCCCCGTCGCCCTGCTGGGAGCAGCTTCAGCGCTGGTGGCTGTCAGCCTGGACAGACCTTAGCATGTCCTGGACAGCTTTCCAAGTATGTTTTTCTGAGCCCCAGCTGACTTGGCCTTGCTGAAGCCCAGACACCTGTGTTCCTAAAAGTCGCAGGGCGAGTCTCAGGGCAGCGCGTGATTCATGGTATGCCCTGAATTGCATGCTAGGTGTTGGCCTTCTGCTTCTGTTGTTGTTATCCATCATGCGAAGAGACTGGGACCTCCAAAAGGAGCAGGCACTTTGGTGGGGCATTTCACAGCCCAGAGGGTAAAGACAGGTTAGAACTCGGTTCTCCCGATAAGCATGAACACAGTCGCCCTCCATAGCCGCAGGTTCAGCTAGTCTTCGATTGAAAATATTTGGGGAAAGGAAAAAGAACTGACAGTGTTACTGCACAGCGATACACTTTTTTTCTCATCATTATCCCCTAAATGACATAGTTTAATAAAATTGCTTATATTTACACAGCATTTATAGTGAGTTAGGTATTATCAGTAATTTAGAGAAAGTTTAAAGAGAAGATATGTACATTCTATACATGTTGTATGCAAATGTTCTGCCATTTTATAAAAGGAAGTTCAGCAACATCAGGATTTTGCTATCCACGAGAGGTCCTGTGCCAGCCCTCTGCAGATACCAAGGAGAGCTGTATGTGAACACAGTGGCGCGCAATAGGCAGTTAATAAGTATTTGTCGCCGGCAGTCCATTGCTGAGTCAGCATTTCCTGAAGTAGAACTCTAGATCCTGCCTTCTGGGAATTTACAGACTAGATGCAGGAGAAAAGGTGGCCATGACTTCAGATCCAGGCTGCAGGGGCAGAGCAGCCCCCTGGAAGGTGCTGTGAGAAGGGTCCTGGGGGAGCGGGCCTTGGATAAGCTCTAACCCACATTCTCTGGCTGCTCTCTCCAGGTGGCCACTGACAAGGACAACGGCATCCTTCTCTATAAGGGAGACAATGATCCCCTTGCACTGGAGCTGTACCAGGGCCATGTGAGGCTTGTCTATGACAGCTTGAGCTCCCCTCCCACCACAGTGTACAGGTAAGGGCCACACACCACTGTGGAGAAGATGCGGGGTGACTCTAATGTGTCTTCCCTCTTCCTTCCTACACACACACACACTCACACACACACACACACACACACACACACACAAAATGGTATGTAGGACAGAAGAGGGCCATGATGGAGACAGAGGCAGGAGGGGAAGGCAGACCCATGCAGGGAGATGACACCTCATTACCATAAGATAAATGACCAAATGGCTACTGTGCGTGGAGCCAGGTGCTCCAATGGGGCAAGGCTACTTAATGAGATGCCCTTTTCAAAATGTCATCCTAATCTTTTATTAGTTTAAGAAAGAAAATAGGACAATTAGCATGCAACCCAAGGGGGAGAAAATTCAAGAGCATAGAAATTCAAGAGGATAGACGACAGTTTAAGTGACTTTCAGACAGCTCTGAAGGACGATTTTTCCTAAGCTTCAGTCTTTTCCATAATTACTTTGTGCATTGGTTGGCTTCTCCTTACTATTAACACAACTCCTGAGATAATCAACCTGTAGGAAGGAAAGATCATTTTGGCTCACGGTTGTGGCAGGATGGCCCATGGTAGCTTGGCCCCATCTCTTCAGACATGTGCAGAGGCTCCACACCATGTCAGGGAGCATATGATGGGGCCAGTGCTGGCCTCATGGAAGCAAAGACAGGCAGTGGAAGGGACTTGGGCTCCTCTGTGCCTCCTCATGATGCACACCCAGTGACCAGAGACCTCCCACAGGCCCCTCATTCTGAAGGCCCCACCACCTCCCAACAATAAAACAGGCTTGGAATCAAGTCTTCAGTACATGAGTAACTGGGGGACACCCAGCATGGAAACTCCAGCACCCTCATTTTCACATCATCTGCATGACAGAGACACAATGACTTCCCAAGCTACCTCATGTCAAACTGCTCATTTTTAAAATTTAGCTTTCTATTATGATCTGACATCACAACTATGAGTTCAGTGTGTTAAATATTTTCCTACTTCTTGGTTAAGACGTGTATATATTCAGCATCTCTAATCTGAAATCTGAAAGTCTCCAAAATCTGAAATTTTCTGAGAACCAACATGACACTAGAAATTTTTCAGACTTTGGAGCATTATGGGATCGGGATACTCAACTGATAGTCCATGCAAATATCTCAAAATCTGAAAATACTTCTGGCCCTGAGCATTTCAGATAAGGGATACTCACCTTATACTAAACAACTATTAAAATAAGAAAAATTATATACATATTCCATAATATCTTAACTACTAAAATTTTTAAGTGTCTATGTTACCTCTACAATCATGTAAAAGCAGGAGGAGAGCCAAACTCAGAGAAGGCACAGTGCCAACGAGAGGCCATACATGACATAGCAAGAGCATCTTCATTGGGATTAGTGGAGAGCTGCAGCTTCAGACCTTTATAACTGAATCCTTCTGCACCTGAAACTTTATGTTGAACTCAAGAATAATGCATAGAAGCAGACCACCCTGAGTGAATACAGGGGGACCTTCCCTCCTGCACACATGCTATCAGCAAGCCCTCTACTTGTCCTCCCATAAGCCCACTTTGAAAACTACTGTTTAAAACCAGTGGTTTAGGAAGGGGAATGTGACCCAGTAGTACAGCGCTTGCCTAGCATGCATGAGGCCCTGGTTTCAATCCCTAGCACCAGAAAAAGAGCAGTGACTCTCCAAGTATAGTCCCTGAAGCAGCAGTGCTAGTCTCACCTAGGAACTCAGTAGAAATGCATATTTTCAGACCCTACGCTGGGACTACTGAATGCAAAGCTCAGGGTTGGTCCCAACAGATACTTATTTTAAGAAATCTTTTGATACATGGGTTTCTGTGTACACATGAAAACAGCCGGAAAGGGGCAAATGGAGTTGGATCCTAAGAAAGGGAAGAGATGAACAAGAGAACAAATGAGCCAACTAGGCTGGGAGAGCAACAAAGACAAGAAAAATGACAAGGGCACTTGCCAGAGCAGATGGCTCATCACAGAAGGTGAGGCGTGACAAGACCAGGCTACTCAGTGACACCTGGATATAGTAAGCACCAGGAGGAAGAGTTTACTCAGTGGCCCTTGTACATCTGTTCCTGGAATCCATGGGCCACATGGAGAAGCCAGAGAGCCAAAGAGACCAGACCAGGTGTAGCCTGATAAGCCATATGCCTGACAGGAAGCACCTGCTAGCACCCTGACTCGTGTTGAAGCAAGTGACACTGTCTCTTGTCTTAGTTGCCTCTGAACATGCTGTGGAAATTTTCAGGAAATGGCTCCAGGGGTGGTGGTAAAGGTTGAGAGAGTGCATGGCGAACTTGAGTAGGGATAGGGAACTGCAGAGGGGAGAGGGGAAAATCAGGCTCTCAGGGGGAGCTCGGCAATGCCCACAGGTTAGGGCTAACCCCAAGCAGCCCAGCCTCCTCTTTCCCTGCTAGTGACTGTGGGGCAATGGCTTGGTAAAGGATCATACTGGCAGTAGGAATGCAGAGTCACTACACTGGATAATGAGATAAGAGAACAGAACTGCCACCCCCCAACGCTCCCATTAGACGGCCATGAAGTTCAGAAAGTGGCCCTGGAAGTCACCCAACTCTTGGCCCAACCCATGGGAGTCATGACTGTCCAAGCAAGGCTGACTTGGATTCTCAGGCCAAGCCTGGTGACTGATCTTTAGAGGATAAGGGGACCCAGGCCCCAGAAATCTCATGCTAAAAATTGTTTTGCTTCCCAATACATTCCTCTGAGCCAATCCTGTTTTTGCCCTAGTACAGGTTGAATTATCTTTTACCCAAAATGCTTGACACTAGAAGTGTTTTTGATTTCACATATTTTCATAATTAGGAATATTTGCAAATGCATACTTGGGCATGGAATACAAATCTAAACATGAAATTGACTTGTGTTTCATATAAATGAATTCATAGCTCAAAAAGGGAATTTTATATACTCTTTATACTGTGCCTGTGCTTTGACTATGACCCATTGCATGAGGTCAGGTATGGAATCTTTTGCTTGTGACATATTAGTGTTCAATTTTTTTCAGACTTTGGATTATTTTGGATGTCATATTTTCAGATTAGAGGGACTCAAGCTGTAGTAATCCCTTCCACTTACTGATTTGGTAAACACCCATGAAGTACCTTCCCTGGACCAGGCCTGGGCCACATATAGGAAACACATGATTGAACACACACAGGCCAGAGGAAAAGACACACACCTGAACCAGCAGTAGTAGAATCAAACACATCCCAGTGGAGACATTAGCATCATGCTGTGAGGACACTTCTGGAAAAGTGCAAATATAAAGAGTCTCTAAAGGAGGTAATATTTGTGCAGGGGGTTGCCCTACCCTGAGAAGCATTTCTAGTTTGGAAATGGGAGCGGGCCTGAGGAGGGAGGCACCTTCTCATCAGCAGAAGTTGCCCTGGAAGAACTTCAAGTTAATGAAGGGCACATGCTCTGCTACAGCAGCTGAGAGGGTCAGGAAGCCATTGTAGAAAAATCAAAAACAAAAAAGAGGTCTTCTGCTTAGATAAGTGACCCTCTTGTGACCTCAGCCTTGGGGTGAGAGCCAGAAAGCCAAACCAGAGCTAACCTACAAGGGGAGTTGGGAACCTGAAGCCTTCTGCCCACCAAGGATCCCACAGGCAGCCCTGTGGTAAGGGTGAGCATCTAGAGGCCCTGCAGGACTTAATACCTGGAGCAGCTGCATCCCACGGTCCTCTTCCTTCTGATACCTGCTTTTGTTCAGTGATTCAGCCATGGTAATGGGAGGTGGTGAAGGCACATCAAGATTCTATCAGAGAGTCCTAGCCCAGGTCCGGTGAGAGTGTGGAGAGCTTCCTGCTAACCTGCGCCGGCAGGACCAGTCCCAGCCCAGGCGCAGCGTGGGCCGGACCCTTTCCCACCCTCTCGGGCTGCCCCCCACCACTCCGCCGTACCTCCCCCACCCCTCTCGCCCAGTAGGAATTTCTGCCGAGTTCCGGGAACGCCCAGACCCAGTCCTAGCCCTGGTCCACAGCGGGAAGGAGCTGAGCACAGCAGCCAGACATAATCCAGATGCAGCTGGATAAGTCCAAACTCTGTAGAGCTCCACCTTAACTTCAGTAC